GTTGGAGTCTCCAATGGAGTGCGATTGGCAACCGCTCACATCCCAGGGCCGGGGAGCGCTAAGAAGGCGCACCCAGCTGGCCCCGGATGCCGGAACCCGCGCAACCCGTCCCCGCGAGCCGCGACGCCGCCCGAGCATCCGGCCGCGGGCTAGAGAGCCCTAGCCCTGTGGGGTGCGCGGTCGCAGGGCCATAAGCGTCTCCGTGTCTCCGAGGGTTGGTTCCGGAGAGAGATTTTTAGCAATACCAAACAACTCTAACACTCACACGTCATGGACGTCTACTGGGGCCTGGTTCACGCGCGCGCGAGACGTGCAGACAGGGTTGCCAGGTGAGAGCGAATGGCGCGGTTCACGCCTCGCACAACAGAGAGAGAGATGCGCTCTGCATGGTGGGACATAAAAGAGAGCGAGTACTTGGGCGAGTAGGCGGTCGACGCTGCCGCGCGCGACTTTGCGCGCGAGGCGGCGCAGCTTGAGAACGGCGGTGGGCGAGAAGCCGCCGCCGAACGTCTCGTGGAGCAGCAGGTTGAAGTTGTTGCGCTTGACAAAGATCGCGTCGTGGTAGAAACCGCGATGCGCCTTGACGTAGCCGTGGCCGGTCTTGTGGGAGAAGGGTTGGCCGGGCTGCCCGCGCGCCTTGCACAGCCCATGTTTAGGCGGCGGGCCTTCTCTTCGGTGTTGCCGAAGGCGTAGGAGTGGCCAACGGAGGCGGGCGTGCCGCCACTCGAGGCGTTGCCAACGCCCGCCGAGGAGGTCTTGAGGAGGGGCGTCCAGAGATTGACTTCATTCACCTCATCGCATCCTCCCGGGCCAGCGTGGGGTTCCGCGAGGTCGACCTTGTACCCCTCGTTGTACTGCCGGGTGAGCTCTGGTTTCTCCTTGTCACCGTGCACGACCGGCGCGTTGGCCGGGGCGCGCATCGCGTCCGCCCAGGCGGCGAGGACGCCGTCGTGGGGCCGCCGGTGGTGGGCCGTGTACCGGATTTCCCTTATAACTGCAGAACGCCCCCTCTACTCGGAGCTAGGTCTCCGAGAGTTAGTCTGCGCTATGGGTTTCGAAATGTGAGATTCGTAAACCGAACGAGAATCTTTTGTGTTGAGCCTGTCTGTGTAAATAAATAAGGAAAATCTCCTGGAGTGTGGAGAGATGGGTGACGCACAAACCCGAGGGACAGCGCGTGTGAGAGTAGAGATTTGCTGGATTAATTTTTTCTAAAAAGAAACAGACAACCCAAACGAGGGATAGGGGAGGAGGACAGGGAAAGAAAGGAAGAAAACAGACAAAAGGAGGACAGGGTCCGCGCAGGAGTCCAAAATTCTTTTTCTGCGCTCTGCTGCTCGTGACCCACGCCAGCGGCGCCGGCCGGGGCGTTAGCCTATCTCGAACTTTTCTCATGAACGACACCTTTGTCTGGGCCCTTGGCGGTCTATGCGTTGCCACGCTCTTCGTACTCATGGGCGTCGGCCTCGACCTTCACTACCGCCTGCTTCCGAGCCGTGCCAAGGCGCGCGCGGCTGGCAAGACACGGATCGACAAGCTCTGCTAAGCAGTGTGACGTCTGAAGTGCTCTTGTGCGCGTGAACGACACTGGCTCGAGTTCTGGCAGCGAACGGCGTCGGAGGAGGCGAGCAGAAATCCGCTGTGTGTCGTCGGCTCAAATCCAACCACCCTCCACAGTCCACCCCGGTACGTTCAACGCCGGACATCGCGACACCAATGGAAAGGAGTTGGTCCTTGGCTCGTGCTGAGCGCTCCCAGGCGCGCGGGTGCTGCTGAAGTGGCAAGCGCATAGAGCTGTCGACGACCAAGACGAACAAGACGGGACCAAGACCTACGACTCTAACGACTCGTGGCACGCTGCACGGCGCAGCTCAAGGTTGCGCAAATGGAGGGCTGCACCATTCCCTCGCTCGAGCCGCGCGCGCCTCGACTGGGCGGTCCACTACCTCTCCTTGCCGTGGAAGCTGCTCTTCGCGTGCATCCCGCCCACGCTCTTCTTCGGCGGAAAGGCCACCTTCGTCGTCGCGCTCGTCTGCATTGGCGCCGTCACCGCGATCATCGGCGACGTCGCCGCCCTTTTCGGCTGCGTGCTCGGCATGCCCGACGCGATCACCGCGATCACTGTCGCGCTGGGCACCTCGCTCCCCGACACCTTCCTCGGCCTTCGCGCCGGGGGGGCGGAGCCGGCCGCCGTTCCTTCCCGACGAGAGCCGTCATAGTCGGGCGCCGAGCGCCACCGTGACACGTGTCCTCCAAGCGTCGTGTTTGAGTGTGTGTTTGTATCGTGAAGATTTTAGTCTCAAAAGAATTCGTTGTGCGCCAAAGAATTCGTTGTGCAGGTGCTCGAGGCCGCGATGTCCGACCCCACCGCCGACGCCGCCGCGTCGGCAACGTGACGGGCTCGAACGCGGTGAACGTCTTCCTCGGCCTCGGGCTGCCGTGGATGATCGGCGCGCTCTACTGGAGCCGAAAGGGCGTGCTACCCCGACCAAGCCGCGCTCTACCCGCAGGGCGGCTTCGTCGTCCCCGCCGGCGACCTCGGCTACTCGGTGACCGTCTTCTGCGTCTGCGCCGTCCTCTGCCTCGGCATGCTCACGCTGCGCCGCTCGGTCCTCGGCGGCGAGCTCGGCGGGCCGAGCTGGGCGGCGGCGCGCGACCGGAGCCAGGGCGCCGGCGTCGCGCAGGCGCTGCTCCAGAAGCGGGTGGTGGCCGTCTCTTCTTCCTCCTTTTGTGGGCGGTGTACGTACATTGTCGCGTCGATCGTGAAGTCGAGCAGTCACGCGGCGGCGTGAGTGTGAATGATTTTACTTTAAGGTTCCCCGGGCCAGTTGGGGAAGGCAAACCCAGCCCGCCCCCTAGAACCCCGGGTAAGGCCCAGGTGTGGCCTAGGGCATCAGAAGGGACCAAGAGGAGTCCAGTCTGAGCCATAGAGCCCATGTCTTTGCCCCCGAAGGTCGCGTTCAAATGCCCGGAACGGACGTTACAGTGGTGTCCGGCCGGCGCGATCACCGAGCTGTGACGCTCAGGGAAGCCTGATGAGGTACTGGTTTCTTTGCCCAGGGCTGGCCTTCCCCCCAGGCTGGATCAGCTGAGCAAGGTTTGGGGAGAATCCCCCGGTCAGATCTTCAGATATTTTGACGGATGACCGAAAATGGGGAAAAACGGGGGGACATGAGCTCCGCGTTGCGCAGCCGGCGCGGCCGAGACGCATGACGAGCCGTCGGAAGCGGAATGTAGAGATCGCCGTCCTCGGTGGGTACGTGGCGGCTAACGGAAGACATGAAGGTCAGACCACACCTCGCTTGTCGGTCGTCCCCCACGAGCACGTTCCGACGCCATCGCAGACGCCAACTCGTTCATTCACGTAAACGCACATCCCCGGGCCCGAAATCGCACTCATTCACGTAAACACACAACCCCGGGCCCGAAATCGCACTCATTCACGTAAACGCACAACCCCGGGCCCGAAATCGCACAGAGTCACGCAACACGGGTACACGGCACTTCATTCACACAAAAACACAACCCTCGTTCATTCACCCTGCTGAGAATCTCTTCGTTTGGCCGCGTGCCCGCGAGCCCGCGAGCGGAGAGAGAGAGAGAGAGAGAGAGAGAGAGAGAGAGAGAGAGAGAGAGAGAGAGAGAGAGAGAGAGAGAGAGAGAGAGAGAGAGAGAGAGAGAGAGAGAGAGAGAGAGAGAGAGAGAGAGAGAGAGAGAGAGAGAGAGAGAGAGAGAGAGAGAGAGAGAGCGAGCGAGAGCGAGAGAGAGAGAGCGAGAGAGAGAGAGAGAGAGAGAGAGAGAGAGAGAGAGAGAGAGAGAGAGAGACAGAGAGAGAGAGAGAGAGAGAGAGAGAGAGAGAGAGAGAGAGAGAGAGATTTGCGATAACACAAATTTTGAAATAATCATTTTTTATATTTGTGCGGAATCGATCGATGTGTGTGATCAATCAAGCACTGCAGCATGTATGTACATGGAGGCTTCCTGTGCAGCGTGCAGGCCATGCCTTCTGTTCGGAGTCCACGCTACTGTTGATCTGCACACCGCCTTCCAACAGGCGAGCGCCCGCATCTTGCCCGCGCCTGCGCCCGTCGATGATGTATCGATATCCCCTGTGGAAGTTCTGCCGAGAGTGCCCGTCGCGGCCTGCCGGCCAGGCCTTCTGCTGCGCATCGTCGGTCGCGCGTACATGTCCCGTGCCGAGGTGCCGCTCATGCGCAAAAAGAGGAGGAGCCGGCAGAGTGCTCGAGCCTCTGCCGTCGCCATCGACGCTGCCACCTCGGACGTCGGGCAAGAGGTCGTGGAGAGGCGGGCTTTCTGCCTGGAAGACTACGTTACGGCGGCTCGCAACCCATCCAAGACACTCTCGGCCAGCCTGTTCATGTTCTTCGCCACACTGTTCAGCACCGTCGCCCTCGGGAGCCTGATTGAGAAGCAGACGCTCAGCCGCATCGGCCTGACCGAGTACCTCTACATGAACTCGCTCGCCGGCATCATCCACTCGCTGCTTGGCACGCAACCGCTCCTTGTCATCCGACCAACTGGGCCCGTCACAGCGATCATCATCAAGCTGTCCGGCACGTCGGATCACTTCGGCTTCAATTTTCACCACTTCCTCGCCGCGACGGGCGTCTGGGTCGGCCTCTTGCTCGCGGCCATGGCGGTTGCCCGTGTCTCGCGCTACGCCTACCGCCTCACTCCCTTTACGCACGAGATATTCGCCTGCTTTGTCTGCTCAATTTACCTCTCCGACGGCATCAGCTCCTGTATCGCGCGCCTTGAAGGCTCCGAGGCCTCCTTTGAGCGCTTCGGTACGGCCCTCTTCAACCTTAATCTCGCGGCTATCACGTTTGGCGGCTCGGCCGTACTCGCCGGCGCCGTGAGCTGGAGACTCCTGCCTCGCTCCATGCGTGCCGTGATTGCCGACTACGCCGTGACCATTGCTGTAGTATTCACAACCGCAGCCAGCTTGTGGTCCGACATCGCAGCCCCGCGGGTGGAGCGCATCTCCATGCCGAGCACGTTCTCCCCGACGTGCCACCACACGCCGTCCGACTTTGAGTGTCTTCACCAGCACGTACCAGAGCCATCGCTCGTGACCGCCCCGCCCCGCGCTTGGTTCGTCGGCTTTCCGGTCGAACCCTTCTGCTGGCTCGTCGCGCTCGCTGCCGCGCTGCCCATCTCCTTCTTCTTTTTCATCGACCAGAGCATTTCGTCGCTGCTCTGCCAGCTCCCTTCCATGGGCCTTCGCCGGGGCACATACATGCACGTATCGCTCCTGATCGTTGGCGTCTTCAACGCTGTCGGCCCGGCATTCGGACTACCATTCGTGACTGGAAGCCTCCCGCACTCGCCGCAGTTTGTACGGTCGCTCACGCTCGCACGAACGCGCGAGGAGGGCGCAGAGGCCGAGGGGGAGGAGGAGGAGGAGGAGGAGGAGGAGGCGAGCACTTCACCGCTGCAGGTTGCAGAGTCACGCGTCGCACCGTTGCTCATGTACACCCTGATGGGCCTGCCACTTCTCTCTCCCGGCTTGCTCAAGCTCATCCCGGAGGCGGCGATCGACGGCATTCTCGCCTACGTCGGCTACGAAGGCATCGTGTCGACCGACCTGTATTCTCGAGTCCTGCTCCTGTGTACTCCACGTTGCAACATCCCGACAAGGTATGCCGGTCTGCCATTGAGAGTGCTGCACGGCTTCACTGCTATCCAGCTGGCTATGCTCGCCTTGTGCTGGGCGGTCAACCTCTCGCCTGCGGGCCTCTGCGTGGCCTTTGTCGTGCTGTCTCTGATCCCGCTGCGTGAGCGGCTCCTGCCGCGCTACTTCTCGACCGAGCAGCTCGCCGTGCTCGATGGGGGCAGTCTCGCTTCGCCGCTGACACCACAGCCCACCCCGCCCAAAGCTCGGCCCAGTCGCGTGGCGCCCGATCCGCACATGAGCCACGCAATCGTGGTGCACGGCGAGGCACCGCTCGCAGCGGCGGCCAACGAGGAGACAGCAGAGGTAACAGTCGGAGACCAAGCCGAACTGAGCGCACGACTGACTGAGCCAGACTTCTCACAGCCGCCCGAGGAGACGAGAGTTTCGAGGGAGAAGGTGGTGGTGGATTACCTCGACTAGTTCCCGAGCACACTCGACGTCTTGGACGCGAGGCCCGGCATCGAGTGAGGGGAAGGCCAGGGAGGCGCAGGGTGAGCTAGCGCACGTCAATGAGCGCCGGAGCGAGAACTCTGCGGACGATGTGCAAATCTCGCTGAGAGGGGAACAGTTGACAGGGTGTGCGCGAAGAGCAGTGTGGGGTCATCGAGCGGCGCGGTTTGGTATCTCACTGGGGTTGTGTCATGGGTTTGCCTGTGCGTGTCAGTGTGTGGGGACTTGGGCGTAAATAAATAAATAAATAAACGCTCACCTCTACTTAGAAATTGGGTAAAAAGGAGCCAAGCCCCCCCCCCCGCCCTGCCAGGGGCCCCTGCGCAAGCCGTGTTGGAGCACTTGGAGTTCGCACTTGGAGCACTTGGAGTGCAGTCATTAGCCTCACATCCAGGGCCGGGGAGCTGAGAAGCGCACCCAGGGCCGGATGATCGGGAATCGGGTTCGCTCTTTTCTTCTTTTAAAAAGCTGTATATGAGTTATGTTCCGCTCAATGTTACACATCTTTGCCTTTTTGCAAAAACACTACGCCCGTGTTTTCGCAGCTGCCGCATTTGTCGTCGTGCGGGTGCTCTCGGCGAGACTCTTTGCGTGAGCGAAGAGTTGGCGCGCGTCGGTCAGTACTGCTTCCAAACCGTCTGCGCCAGCACGAGCTACATGGACATGGGGCCCGTCGCCGAGTCGCAAGTCGGCCTCCGAGAACCACGGGGCGGAAGTGAATGCTGGTAAGTCTAGTCTGCTATCACTCGGCGATGCGTCGAGTCCAGCAGCGTCGACGAGAGCGAGGCTCTCGCCATCAAGCATTGTCAACTGCAACACAACGCGCGGGAGACGCGTTGAGATGTGTGAGCTGTGAGAGGAGCGGCGGGACGCCAGACGCTCCTGTGGAACGAGACGCCGCAGCACGACGCGGTACTGGGGATGCTTGCAGCACGGATTCGACGACGCGTCAGGCGGCGAGTCATGTTGGGTGGGCCGCTGTAGTTGGAGGTTGCGGAGCTTGGGCAATGGCTCGAGGCATGACGCGTCGTCGACTGAGGTGATTCGGTTGCCGTCGAGCAGCAGCGCCTGAAAGAGGCCAGAGCGGTGGTGAGCACGCACTATTTCTGTGTGCGGCAGATGTGATCGTGTCTTGCCGCCTCAAGCGCGACGAGCGACTCCACCCCTTGGATGGTTGTGATTTCATTGTCCGACAGCGCGAGCCGCCGTAGCTGCGCGAGGGCTTCCAGCCCCTCCATTCGACCAATGCGATTGTGTGATAGGTCAAGATGCCGAAGATTGACGCACCTGAGAGAACAGGGTAGGAGTTCTTGGGACAGGCACTTCCTGGCTCCGCGTACCACTCGCTGAGCTGCGCACGCACGGTGCCAGCGCCTCGATCACGCGGAGCCCGGCTCGTGGCATGGCGAGAGAGTGCACGTCGGCGCAGTCGTACTGGCCGGTGTTCGCCTTGACGGCGTCGCCGGTGAGGCGCGATGTGGCCATTGTGGGGTATGGCAAAGCAGCGTGTAACGAAGTCGAGATACTTCGTTTTTTTTATGTCAGTGGCCGTTACGTACACATTCCCGGAGGACTTTCCGCAAAGAAAGAAAGAAAGAAAACAGACAACCCAAGGCCGGGTATTTTAGCCGTCTTCGCTCTCTCAGCCGCCGCGTACACGCGCTCCTGCTGATGTGCGACGTCGAGTCGGAGCCTGAGCCGGCGCCTGCCGCGGCCGCGGCCGATTGCGAGGAGGCGCCCGGCGACGTCGGGACCACGCGTCTGCCGGATCTCTCGCCCGACGGGTGGCCAATCTACCCGTCTGTGACGGAGCGGTACTTCACAACGTACGTGACCTCCAACCACCAGGCGCTGCACGTCCACTCCAACGGGATCTGTCTGCTCGGCCTCGCGCCATCGCACCCGCTGCTGGCGCCCGGCGCGGCGCGGATCACCGGCGTCGCGTTCCGAGACCACGACGCCAAGAACCTGCTCGCCAACGAGGTGCGCGGCAAGCGCAAGAGCGGCGCAGTCTTTGTGCTGCCGCGCGATCTCGTCGCCTCCGTCACCACCGAGGCCGGCGGCGACCCGCTGCCGCTGTGGGCGTGTGTGCGCGCCAACGTGATCGAGGTGAACCGGCGGCTCATCGAGGAGCCGGAGCTGCTCGGCTCGGCGGGCGGCCGCGGCTGGCTCGCGGTGCTGATGCCAAAGATGGCGGAGAAGGGCTCGATCGGCGCCGCGCTCCTCGAGCTCGACAGGCGCGACGCGGCGGGGAGAGGGAGCGGCACCGAGGAGGGAGGAGGGAGGACGGAACAAGGGGGCTTGCGCTACTTGCGGAAGGGTCTTGAGCCCCCCCCACTCCGCTCCCGTTCGCAGGACGGCGCCGCTCCGCGACCCGACCGGCAACCACAAGCGGCGGCGCGACCAGCAGGACGCATCGGCGCCCGGCGGCGACGAGCAGCAGCCGCGCGTGAGCAGGAAGGCTGCCAGGCGAGCCAGGGTTTGCTGGGACTTTGCAGAGACCGGAACGTGCAAGTTTGCCGACAAGTGCCGCTTCCGGCACGCGGCGCCGTCCGAGGCGCCGTCCGAGGCAGCACCGTCCGTCGGAGGGGTGGAGCCATCAGGCGGCGCAGAGGCGGGCGAGGCTGCTGATGCCGGCGATGGGGGCGAGAGCGGAGGGGTCGGCAGTGGTGGCGCGGAGGGGGGGTGTTGGTGCTAGGGTGCTTTTCGCTCTTTTGACCGTGGCGAAAAGAAAGAAAGAAAGTGATCAAGCCCCCGCCTGCTGGCAGACCTGCTTGGGGGTATGGTAGGGCTAGTCTTGGGCGGTCAGGACCAATGCTTGCTACCATACCTTCCACAAAGTAAAAACCCTCGACGACGAGGCGCACAAGCGCCCAAAGCGCCCGGGGCCCGCCTGCCGCACACATACATGGACCTCTTCGACGGCTCCGACGATGCTTCCGATGCCGCTGGTGAGGAGGAGGGCGTCATCGGCCGCGTCGGCGATCAGCTCACCGTCAACAAGTCGTACGCCAGCCGCTTTGAGAACCGGAAGCGCAAGCAGGAGATGGCGCAGCTCCGGCAGTTGCACGGCGATCTCGACTCGGAAGAGGACGCCTCGTCCGAGGATGAGGACGGCAAGATGCTCACGCGCGAGCTCGACCTCAAGATCTTCAAGGCCATCGACGCTGTTCGGCAGAAGCGTCCCGAGGTCTACAAGCCCGAGGCGGCCTTTTTCGACCAAGGGGAGGGTGCGGAGGGCGAGGACAGCAGCGGCGACAGCGACGGGGAAGGTGGCGAGAAGGACGGAGCTGGGAGCTCGAGCGCCAAGGCGCCGGTGACCATGCGGGAGCATCTCCGCACGCACGGCGCTGCTGCTCTCGACGGCTCCGCCGACGAGGACGAGGACGAGGACGAGGACGAGGAGGAGGATGGTGCCGTCGGCGCGCGCGCGCGCGCCCGGAAGCGGCAGCAGCTCGCCTACGACGACGAGCAGCGCGAGCTGCGGAGGGCGCTGTCGGTCAAGACCTCCGGCGCAGGCGCAGAGGGCGCGGCGGACGAGGAGGACGAGGAGCTGCTGATTCGGCGGGAGGTTGCGCCCGAGGAGCGGGAGGCGGAGGCGGACGAGTACGCGTCGTGGCTCAAGCAGCAGCTCTCCAGGGCGGGCCCGGTCGACGAGGCGGTGACGCTGCGCAGGTGCACCCTCCGGGGCGACCATGGCGACAAGAGGGAGGCGACCCGGCGTCATCAACGCCTGTTCATCATAGGTACATGCTCGAGGAGGACCTGCCGCCAGACGAGGCCTTCCTGCGCGACTACATGCTCAACGCGATGTGGAAGCGGCCGGTCGAGGCGGACGGGGGCGGGGGCGGCGACGGCGTGGGCAGCGACGGCGAGGGCGGCGGCGAGGAGGAGGGCGAGGAGGCGGGCGGCACCTTCAGCGACCGCGAAGATGATTTTGAGCGGTCGCACAACTTTCGGTACGAGGAGGCGGGCGCGGCGCGCGTGGTGTCGCACCCGCGGCAGGTGGAGGGGTCGCTGCGCCGGCAGGCCGAGCTGGGGCGCAAGCGGCAGGCCAAGGCGGAGGCGAGCGAGCGGCGCGCGGCGCTGAAGGAGAAGAAGGCTGCCGAGCTGCGCCGGCTCAAGAACCTTAAGAAGGCGGAGATCCTGGAGCGGCTGCAGGCGATCGAGAAGGTGTCGGGCGGCGCGGGCTCGCTCGAAGGCGTCGACCTGAGCGGCGACTTCGACCCGGACGCGTGGGACAAGCAGATGGCCGCCGTGTTCAACGACGACTACTACGCCGCCGCGGACCCGGAGCTGGCGGCCGAGCTCGAGGCTGCCGAGGAGGCGGGGGTGGGCTGGGGCGAGGAGGAGGCGGGCGGCGAGGCGGACGTTGCCCCCCCGGAGGAGGGAAAGCGCAAGCGCGGCGGGCGGCGCGGCAAGGCGGCGGCCGAGGGCGGCGCCGCGGCCGGGTCGCAGGAGGCGGGCCCGTCGGCGGAGCTGCAAAAGACGACGCAGCAGTACATGGACGAGTACTACGCGCTCGACTACGAGGACGTGCTTGGCGAGGGAGAGGACGCGCTGCCCACGCGCTTCAAGTACCGTGCGGTCGAGCCTGCCGGCTTCGGGGTGGGCCGCCAGCCCCTACCGCCCCACCAGCCACCCGCACGATGCCCATGGGAGTGCCCCTCGCTGCCTTGCCCCCTCCCCTCCGGCTCTGACGGGCCCCCGCCCGCCCACCGCCGCGCAGCTGACCGACCGCGAGCTGCTCGAGCTCGACGACAAGGAGCTCGGCAAGATCGTCCCCACCCGGCTCGTCAAGCGGCCGTATGCGCAGTGGGACGCCGCGCGCGTCAAGTCGCGCGCCAAGCGGGTGCGGTGGGAGGCGGAGGCGGCGCGGCGTGCTGAAGAAGGCAGCGCGGGCGGCCCAGGTAAGCGCGGCGGAAGGTTGGCGGAGCGTCCGGCAGGCGACGAGAGGAGGGAGAAGATAAAGCGGCCGCGCGAGGCTCCCGAGACGACCCCGGCGGCACAGGCACAGACCTCGACCAAGGTGGCGGCGGCAAGCCGGCTCGAGGCCTTTGCGAAGGTGAACAAGCGCTCCAAGCGGGAGGCTCGCGAGGCGAGAAAGGAGCGTAAAAAGAAGGGGACCTTTTGAGTGCTTGCTGTAAGTAGAGGAGTACGCCACTGTCCTCTCACGAGACGAGAAAAAAGTAATATAGGATAAATAAATAAAACGGACACCTCTCTACTGTGAGATGGGTGGAAAGGAACAGGTCCCCGCCCTTGCGATGTTTGTGCAGGGTTCGTTGTGGGTGTGGTCGGCGACTAGCCGGGGTCGTCCTCCCGATGCGGGGGACTAGCACTAGCTGTCTTCCACATGAGGTCCCTCGGAGCGCGGTAATATACACGGTAGTCGGTAGTCGGTAGACCATCCGCGTTATTACACTTCAACAGGGCAACTCGGCCACGGCACGGCGACCTTCTGAGTATGTTGGCATCCCGCGGGGCCGCGGCCCGGCGCGCCCGGCCGCACGGGGCGTACACGGGTTCGCGTCAAACCGTTTTTGAGTTTTGGAGAAGTCACAAAAAGTGCGTCACACCGCCCCCTGCGCCTCCCTGATCCCTTCCTCCAACGACCAGGCTCGATCGCGCTCCTCAGCGGTCAGCCTTCGCCGGGTGTGGGTCTTTGCGGCAGCATTGGCGGCAGCCATTGCCCGTGCCATCGAATCCGACATGGTTGCCAGCTTGGAGCCTGGCTGGCTCGCCTGCGATTGTTGCGTCAGTGGCGGCCTCGTCCGGCCAGCAGCTCGCTCCTTGGTGGTGACCTGCAGCTCCGCAAGAGCACGCTGCAGGAGCAGCGAATCACTCGCCGCCAGCGCGTCAGGGACCGGACAGCCGAGCAGCAAGGCCCTGCTGGGGGGGTCAGAACCCCCCCCCAGTCGACCCCCTAGCAGCAGGGCCGGGCTTAGAAGTGCAGGGGGGGTACCGAGCAATGTGCGGCCGCTCCTGTCGGGTGACGCGCATGGTGACGCGCGAAGTGTGTTGACGCGGGGGGATGTCGCGCCTCGCGCGCAGGCCGCGCACAGGCTAGTTCCATTTCACTGTGGCACAGCTCGCGTTCCCAAACCTAGATTTTGCCCATTTGCGCCCTATAGTACCTCTTGGTGCATCGCAGCTGCCTCTGCGCGTCCTGGGGAGGTACATTTGTTGCGCGCCGGAGACGACTCGACGCCGCTGAGATCGGAGATCAAGCTCTGACAGGTCGCACGTCGCTCCTTTGACGCCGACGTGACTCACCCGTGCAGATCACATCATGACACGGTCTCGACACGCTCGGTACGACGCCTGCGACCCGTCTCGGGTCAGGTGGCTTGACGCTCATCGCGCCTGCCAGCGCTGCCGTGCAGATTGCCACGACGAGGTCGAGCACGCTTCTATACGCTCGCCCAGCCTTCCTTTCCATCCCATTAGGCAGCCTGGGAACGGTGGCGGTCAGAGGCAAAGCCTACGAGGGGTGGTGGAACCACATGTCACGGCCACCGCCGGCTCGACCCCACGATAGCCTCCGAAGGCTGACTTTGAGGCACCATCATCGGACGATGTCGACGAGTTGGGTCGCTCTCGCGGTAGCCAGATGACCTCCCATGCTAGTACCATCGGCTAGGGCCGCAGGAAGCGCGGGGGAGGGCGCTGGGAGCAACACGGAGCTCCGTTATTGGACGTTTTCAAGATTAGCGTGTCAGAGTGAAATGGAACTAGCCACAGGGAGAGTAAAGCGAAGTCGTCCTCGGAGACATGAAGAGCGGACAATTTAAGGAATAGTGTGCGCCCGCGTCGTCAAAACGACGACGAAGGAGATCGCATATATACACCGCGGCGCAATCATGCTTGGGGACAGCGCCCCACCCAGCGCACACGATAGAGACAAGCCATCCTCCGGGGCGCAGAGCGCGTGAGCTACCCATTTCACCTTCCCCGCGCACACACAGACACTGAGCTCACCTCCTCTCTGGTCTCAACGCTCGTGCTGCTGCTGCGACCTCTCTCCCGCTCAAGCGCCGGGAGGCAGGGAGGGGGAGCAGTGTGGCCCACTGCCTCACGCCCACGCTGCGTTGAGGTCCCTGCGGGCAGAGTACATGCTGGTGGCGACGGTAGCGACGAGCATGCCGAGGCAGGCGCCGAGCAGCCCGAGCTTGTTGAAGTCCTCATTGAGCTGCCGCGGGGGCGGAAAGGGCGGAGGGCGGCGGGTCACGCGCGGCGGCGGCTGCTCACCGGGGGGGGGGGGGGGGGGGCCTTGAGGGAAACAACCCCCCCCCCCCCCCCTGGTCAAAAATGCCCCCCGGCCCCGCCCCCCTGAAAAAAAAGCCCACCCCCTATCTAAAAACAAAGCTCCCCCACTCCAGGACGGTCGGGCCGGCAACAAAGGGCCCCGGCCCAACCACCTTTTGCCCGTGCAAAAAAACCTGCAACCCGTTTATCCCCCCCAACGAGGGCAAATAGGGCACAAACCCCTCCTCCTTGTCGGGGGCCGAAATTTTTTGGG